TCTTAAGACTCTTTGCAGGTCCCTCCCCTAATGAAGAGTGGTGAGCAGCTGATTGGACCGTGGAACACGTGACCGTGTTCAAAAAGCCGCTCTGACAGCTCCCGCCGGAGAGAGAGAGAGAGAGAGAGAGTGGAGCGAGTAGCTTGACAGCCGACGCGGTCCTGACCCTGGTTACCAACCTATACTTTTGCTGTATATTTGTGTGAGCGTGCTCTGTGAGAGCCGCTCCTGGTGTATTAACTTAGTACTTAGGCGCCCTTAGGCTGAAGCGGAAGGGGTTTTATTTATCAATATTACCAAAGTTTACCATAAGGCAGCATAGAAAGTATTTACTTGCTTTCAGGTTTTATTCAAATGTTAGTCTTTTCATTTGTTTCCCCACTTTTTTCCTGTTTCAAAATCAAACACCAGTTTGTGAGAAGATTATCTTCTTTTTTTAATAGGCATTGGTTTTGCATTTGCATTGGCTAATTTGCCAATTGTATGTTAAAAATGTTTGTATTTTAATATTCAAAAATGTTTTTGCCCAAAACATATGTGCACTACATGTCAGTAAAAATACTATGCAAACATTGATGTCCTTGACTGCTGAATAAACACTGACTGATTGTATCTCTTGTATTTTATCAACGCAGTATCTAAAAACTTTGCACCGTAGTGGTTAAAATCTCATTCTAATAAGAGTTAAAAGCGCATTCGGTTATTAGGTTTATAGGGTTATTGAATTATGCTTAACAGTTGGTAGAGTTGTTTTTAACATTATCTGCCAATTACATCTGCCACCCTTCTCCAAATCTGTGCCCCTACCTGGCCCCCCCAACAAAAATTTTCTAGACACGCCACTGGTTGCAACAGGGACACATGGAAATGTTTCAAGTCACCAGCCCTCGAGGACTGGAGTTTGAGACCCCTGTGTTAGAGGAAGAATAAGAGGACAAGTGCGCAGCTCGTCTTACCTTCTGCAGCTCTGATGGAGGATGAAAGCTGATGTTCAGGAAGCTATCTGGTGGATCTGCAGTACTTGGACAGATCTGTCTGTTGGTGTCTCTGTGAGGACACCACTCTCTTTATGTACATTCGCTCCACTCTCCACACCAAGGAGGGGTGGATACAGAGGTGTATAATAAAAGCTATACTATACGCTTCTTCTGGGCTATATTCTCAGCAGCATATTAAACATATCAGGTCCCCATAAGGAGAATTATGTGCTAACGGCTGTCTAAATGACTCGGGTAA